TATGCATTTGCCCTTGATTGACGGGTGCTTTGTTATCTAGGATGTCAAAGATGCGTTTTTGGAACGACGGCGGCGTACAATGCCGTACATATCGAATCCTTTTGAGGAGAGAAGGCCTAATCGTTTTGAAAGACGCTCATCATCGGAAACAAGATTAATAGGTGAGTGGCTTCTTGATGGAATTGACGCTTTTTTTTGTCAGTTTTTTTACGTGGAGAAACGATTCGGTTCCCGAAACTCTAACGGATTCATAATTCTAGTTACTTTCACTTTAATTTTTCAAAATTATGTTTTTATTACATTCTTAATATCACTTCTGTCTTTCTGTTCCTGTCTATTTTTCGTCTTTTACGTGACGCAATACTTCCCATAATCAGTTTTTGCTTTTTTTTGCTTCATTATTGTTAATACTTCAATAACCTTTAATTTAATCCACAAGTTTTTATTTATCACAGATTGATTGTTTAAATTTGCAGTGAATTTTTCGGAATAAAAATAACTAACAGCATATTTCTTGATTTCGATTATACAACCCAGAATTGGCACAGTTCCAAAATTAATGTTTCGCTGATAACATGTTCTCATTGATGACAGCAAAATTTTGCAGGTGCCGATGCATTCCCATCGCAAGTGACAATGATGAAAATTGGAGAAATGGCGAAATCCTCAACGGCAACCCAGCAACAAGGTTCGTTTCAACGTGTTCAGAAGATGTTTCTTTGTCTGGAACCCCGTGGGCAAAAGCATTTGTGCTTATGTAAGAGACTGGTGTAATTCAGAATGCAGGCACATTCTCGCAGCATCAGTAGCATCGGATTTCCATACTCGTTGCTTACGCAGTCTTCACTTTTTGGTTAATAGCAGCAGTGTTTGTAATACTAACATAATGACGATAATAATAACAATAACAACAATAATAATAATGATAATAATAACAATAATAATAATAATAATAATAACGGCAGTGATAGTAGTGAAAATAATAATAATTACAATAATACTAATTATAGTTAGAG